AGAGAGAGAGAGAGAGAGAGAGAGAGAGAGAGAGAGAGAGAGAGAGAGAGAGAGAGAGAGAGAGAGAGAGAGAGAGAGGCGGCGGTATTTGGCACATAGATTGCCGGGGAATCAAAAAAGGTTCATCCTCGTTTTGAACTTCCCCCTCTCTCTCTCTCTGTGAGCACCGTCGGGAACCTAAAAATGACAACGAATCTTCCTGCGGAATTGGGAAGGTTCATTCTCGCTTGGAAATCCCGACGGCGAAGTTCAGAACGACAATGAATCTTGCCACGGAATCGGGAAGGTTCATTCTCGTTTTGAACTTCCCTCTCTCTCTCTCTGTGAGGACTGTCGGGAAACTCAAAATGACAATGAATCTTCCTGCGGAATTGGGAAGGTTCATGCTTTTAAACTTCCAGACGGCACAAGGAGAGAGAGAGAGAGAGAGAGAGAGAGAGAGAGAGAGAGAGAGAGAGAGAGAGAGAGAGAGAGAGAGAGAGAGAGAGAGAGAGAGGGCGATCTTTGCGTGCGAAGATTGCTGACTCTCTCTCTCTCTCTCTCCCTCTCAAAGATTGCTGGCTCTCTCTCTCTCTCTCTGTCTCTCACTAGGGGCGTGCCTTGCCTTCTGTGATTCCGCGGACAGATTCACTCACTCTCTTTCTCAGTCTTCCTTCCCTCCCCCTCCCTCCCGTTTCATTTCTTTGTTTTTGTTTTTTTATATTTTTATGTAGAATCCTGTTTGTGTTATGTTTTTTCTTTTTAAAGTTTTTGTTTGTTTTTTTGTGTTTTTAGAAAGGCAGACTGTCCCGCTACCGGTAGCTCTAGACTCAGAAAGGCTCGGCATACCGGTTCCCTCCCGTTTTATTTCTTTGTTTTTTTTTTTTTCTTCTATTTTTATGTAGAATCCTGTTTGTGTTCTGTTTTCTCTTTTTCAAGTTTTTGTTTGTTTTTTGTTTGTTTTTTGTGTTTTTAGAAAGGCAGACTGTCCCGCGACCGGTAGCTCTAGACTCAGCAAGGCTCGGCATACCGGTTGCGGGAGGGTCTGACTTGATAGCTGGGCGAGGTACTTGTCGTTTAAATGTAGCTGACCTTTAGATGAATGGGGAAATGATGGTGCGAAGGGTCAAAAGGACTTTCTAGACCTTCCAACTGATAGAATAGATTCGTGTTGGTCACAGGAATGTTATGCGGTAAGTCTGTAAAGGTACATGAGAGTTTGTCTGTGTGTTGTGTGTGCGCATATGTCTGTGTGCAGTATGCGGACGTGTTGATATGCAGTTTGGCATCATCAACTTCAACGTGTGCAAATATGGGATGTGTCTGGGTCACCTACCCTTGCTTGTTGTTGATACCCTTTTTTTTAGTTATTTCGTGAGGTAGGGCCGGGGCTTTGCCCCTGCTTCTCTTAAGACAAAAAAGAAGAACCTTCAGTTTGGTTCCTGTACCACAGGCAAGTGGTCTGTTTTGGGACTGTTCTTTCTGACGAGGTTGCTGTTCATACTTCAGTCACCGACTTGTTGTTAATGATTACATATGCGCTTGTGCATGGGAGAAGTAACCTGGATTGTTGTTGATAATTACATATCTTGTCAGACCTTGGGTCATCTGGCTTGCTGCTTGACGTACTGTTTTTTGCTCCAATGTCCAGGTGTTGACAGATGCAGCTGTGTTGAAGAGGCAGGCTCATGAAATTGAAGACCTGAAAAAGAAGTTGCAGGTATGTTTTTCATTTCTTTAGACCACCACTACCTAGCCCACTGTTGTGAAAAATGGAAAAAATGGCAGATTTCCCATTTTTCTGAAGTTTTTGGGGTTCCGCTGATAAAACAAAGTTAGAAAACTGGCAAAAAAGTGTTCGGGCCCTGTGGGCCCACTTAAAAAAAAGAAAAAGAAAAGAAGAAGCTGTATCCAAATTCTATGAAGTCAGGGAAGGCCGTGACCCAGGTCATTCTCACAGAGGGCATATTCACATTGCTAGTAGCAATATATCCCGCCACTATTTTGGCTAGTAGGAAATGTAATGATTTCATTGGTTTGTGTGTTTGTTTTCTTCTTTTGTTTTCTTTGTAGTGCCCTGCCAGTGAGGTAGGGCGCATTCGACAGACTGCTGTGACGCCCTCATGGAGGGCATACTCACATTGCCGCTTACAGCACTCACTGAGCAGGGTCAATTTTTTTTTCTGTCTTCTTCTCCTCTGAATACGACTTTGCCGCTTACAGCACTCACTGAGGGGATACTCGTACGAACATTTCTGTGAATATATCCAACTGCTATCGCGTGCAAAGTTTTTGTTTTTGTTTTTCGGGTCTTTACGGGAGACGGCCGTGATGAAATCAGTTGTCGTAAGAGTACCAGAAAAGAAAATTGCGAGGATCTGGGTCCTAGGCAGGCCTAAGGGCCCCCTGTTGCATCTGTGCCCGCCCTCAGTGAAGGCGGGCCTAACAAATTACGAGAGGCCCTCAGCTGTCAATTTCGTATTTGGGGTCCAGGCAGTTTCGTCGCGCCAGTTGGTTGAGGAAAACAAAGGCCGAGAAGCAAGGAAATTCCACGACCTTCCAGGCTCTTCCGAAAGCACAGGCGCTGGATGAGATTCACAGACTCAGACACAGACAGTTGGGAGGCCCAACCGAATGAGGCCCAGTAGCTGCACCAGAGGCGCAGCATCCTGGGGCCTACCGGAAATTTATGGGCCCAGGCCCAGGCCAGCCAGGCTGCGAAGGCAGGCCAGCCCTTTCCATATAGGGAAGAGCTCGCTGTCTGGCCAGGCATTCGGGCACTCGCATGCTGGTGGCAGCGCTGCTGGAGCTGAAGCTCGTGGGCTGCTGCTAGCGCTGAGAGGCGAAGTGCTAGCACGTGCGGTCGTGCAGGGAGCAGGGCGCTGCTGAGGGCAGTGCCATAGCCCAGCCTCCTTAGCTGGCGGGCTTGGATGTACAGTGAGGCACAGGGGTGGTCTTCGGGTGTTCAACAAGGGAAGACGTGGGAGAGAGTCAGGGGGGAAAGAAAAGGATGATGATGATGATGATAATGATGTGAGGGCACATACCTGGTATTGGCGATGGTTTTGCATGGGCAATATCTTCAAGTACTTCGGAGGCTGCTGATGTCAACAAGTTGCATTGTCAAGTAGTAGGCTAGTAGTAGCTGTGTAGGGAGATAGGGACTGGATACATATGTTGGTGGTGGCGAGAGCAAGCTCACATTGACATTGGCTTTCAGTGCTACTATTCTCCATTGGTGTCATATTGGTGCAATGCTACTTTCTGAACACTGTGATACGATCTGGCTTTCAATGTGATTGTGCGATCGAATATTGTCATCTCGCTTCTGTTCATTGTCCTTGCAAAATACTTCTGGGACCCAGACTCGGCAAAACTCGGCAAAACTTGGCGCCAACGGGTTCGGCAAAAACTGGCTCGGAGGTAGTGGTGGTTTAAAGGAGGTAACGAGCGGAGGGCTTTGAAATTTGTCTTTCATCCCAGCGTTCACTTCTTTCAATTTTTGTTATCACAGCCTTCAAGGGTGTAGAAAATTGTCAATCCGAAAGAAGTCCATACTGCACATTAAGATGATCGAGACTGTACATCTGCTGTCTTGGGGTCTTCACCGAAATGGGAATGGTACAGAGAAGATTTGCACAGTCCCTGTTGGAGCAGGGAGTGATATAATAAGTTTTCTATATCTGCTTTGCATCAGTGCTGCAAACCCGGTAGGACCGGGGGCCCCTTCCCCAACCGAAACCGGGCCGGTCCTGCCGGCTGCTCGACCGGGCCGGTTCCCCCCCGGTTGGCCGTAGCGCAGCTTTTTTTTTTTTTTTTAATTTAAGCCCAGGGKGTTGTAGAGGCCGAGGACTAGATCCACGGTGATCACTGGCAGCAGCAGCCAGTGGTTGCCCTAACAGGATAGGCCACATCCCCTACCTTTCCCCTCGTTAATGCTCCCAGTGCACCCCCTATCCCTACTGTCATACCTCAGTGTTACCAGCACTCTGGACCATCACACTACCAGTATCGAGGGCCACTTGGACCAGACAGCGGTGACAAGCACCCCCTAACACTAACACCCCTAGCCCCCTTTTCAAAGTTTTGGGCGGAAGGTTAACGCTTGCAGAAAGCCAGGTACGTTGTTGTCAATGTCTGCCGAAGCCTGTGCTTGCTGAAACCCCACCACTAACACCCTCACCATAAACCCCACAACCCCCGACCCTCAACCCCTGAAATACTCTCCCCCCCCTTTCCAACCCTCCAAACGAAACTTCTCTGTTCAAAGTTTTCTTTGCGGATTCGGGGAGATCTCGGTTTGTGCAATCCAACCATGTTTTCAATTATTTATTTTATTTTTGACCCACTTTTGGGCCCAACCGGAATTCCGGTTGGACCACCGGGGGTCCAACCAGCCTGGTTGGATCCGGCCCAGTCCAACTGGCAGGTTGCTGGCACAGCAATGATTGGCATGCTATTTTCTACGTGCGCTGAATCTTCATTTCTTACTGCTTCCTTTGAGGTCCGTTAGCAAGGAAGGATGTACGTCATGCTTTCGTTTATTTGCTTTGTTCTCAACTGATAATGTCTGTGATGTACCTTTGACTTCACTGTTGTTCATCTTACCCATGAAATTATCAAATCATTTGTTTCGTTACTTCCACTGCTTCCGTGATGATTCTCACTTGCTGTATTGTTATGGTCATTTTCCTCTCTTCTTCCCTGATATGTATTTATTTTTTTACTGATCTTTTGTTTACTTGCTTGGTTTTGGTTTTGCAGGCAGTGAACTCTGCAGAGATAAACAAGCAAATACAGCTCCTGCGAAATCAACTCCTGAAGGTAAGGACGTCCCATCAGATGGACCTGTTCCAACGGAAGTGTAATCTGTTTATTGTCCAAATTCAATTTGTCATAATATTTGTTTAACCAGATTAGCCAACTCACGGCTGGAAGGGCAAGTGGGACAGCTCACTGCTCACAAGCAAAAGAGATCCTTTTTCTCTTCCCCGCATGTAGTACAAGCTCGAGGCCCTCACCGGCGAGCTCACTTCCCAAGAACTCGTGTTCCACTGATTCCCTTTTCCCCCCTTCCCCCCCTCCCCCCCTTCGCCTTCCTTTGAGGGTCCTCTCTTCCCCTCCCTCCCTGCCGATTAAAAACAGTGAAAGGAAAAAGTTCCGAAGGTCAGGGTGGGCAGGTATCTTCTCCGGGAGTTCTCACATACTATTGTTAGCCTCCACTTTCCCATTCAGGTTCTCGCTGCAAGTCCGTGTCCAGGAAATTGGCCTGCATATCAGTCTTCTCACATGGAGGTCAAGTTGCAGAAATTCGTTTTAAATATTGATCTAACCAAGTAGTTCCAGCCAATCCCAGCAAATCCCAGCAAATCCCTCCGTCCTCACTCTATCCATTTCAAGGGAAACTCTTCACAGCTCGCCATAATCCGGAGAGAACATTACTGATTGTGCTCCTATCGAGTCGTAGAGAACAGTAATCGACCACACTCTAGCAATGGGATCTTCCCCTCTTCGTCTGTTCACAGTGTGAACTTCGTTTGTTGCCTCTTTCGGTATGCCTCTGGAGAGTTTGAAAGTTGCAAATTTAGCAGCTATCTTTTGGGTCGTTGGGATCCCGATCTGGACATCTGGCCGTGTCCGAAGCGAGAGGACCCATGTGTCAGGCTGCATACAACGATACAATTTTCTTTAGTTTTGTAGTGCATGCGCCATGGATTTCTTCCTCATTCACCTGTAGAAACCCTATAATCTTTGTGAGTTCATGTCACTGAAAGAGACAAAGGAGCATGTGTGTGACTCGATGCAGACATGCTGTCTGATCGACCATGTTTGTGTCGCACATGCTTGCTTTTTGTCTCCTTCAGTGACATGAGCCCACAAAAGATTATAGGGTTTCTTGAACTTCCTTCTTTGTGATTAAATGCTTGCGTTTTTTGTCTCCTTCAGTGACATGAGCCCACAAAAGATTATAGGGTTTCTTGAACTTTCTTCTTGTGATTAACTACTAAATCCATGTTGCACAGAATCCTTGTACGGTCTGGGCTGTAACCATTTTATGTGTGGATTTTGCATTGTCCTGGCAATCTGTGCTTGCATTCTTATCCACTTTCTCCCCATCAGCCTTTTAATTTGGCGGTTTTTTGCGTAGATGAATGAACAATCAGTTGGATCATGGAATTTTGGATGTTCTCTCATGTTGTTTCATCTGTCTTTGCCTGGTTTGTACATCTCTCTGTGCATGTGTTGCCCGAGTTGTGTTTCATTTGTTGGTTGGCTGGTTGGTTTTGTTATTGAAATGTAGGCGGAGCTGGAAGCTGAGAGAATGGCCCTTGAGCTTGAGGAACAGAAGGCTGAAAATGAACGAAAGATTAAGGAACAGCAACAAAAGATCAGAAACCTTAGCAGCATGGTGATAAACTCGGCAAGTGATGGTCATCAAGAAAAACGGGCGAATCGAGTAAGTGTATAGTTTACCTGGTTGTGTCAGATTTATCTTGCAGTACCTGGTGTGCTGAACTCGTTTAGCACAGCCTTGAAAGTTGAAACTGGTCTAAAAAGGTTTTGGTGGAGAGTCAGGCTCGAGAATATGCGAAAACGGAACAGAAGGCTGAAAATGAACGAAAGATTAAGGAACAGCAACAAAAGATCAGGAACCTTCGCAGCATGGTGATCAATTCTGCAAGTGATGGTCATCAAGAAAAATGGGCGAATCGAGTAAGTGTATAGTTTACCTGGTTGTGTCAGATTTATCTTGCGGTACCTGGTTCATGGTAACTCCGGACCCGGACACCGGACACTTCCGGACTGTCTTCCGGACCAGTGTCTGGACCGGTCCGGACTGTCCGGTGTTCTGGACATTACCTGACACCCGGGCATGACTGGACCCGGACAGTCCGGACCGGTACCAGGGGTGCACAAATGTCCGGACCAAAAAAAAAAAGAAAAAAGGAAAAAAGAACGGGGGTGGGGTGGTGGGCAGCGGTGTTGGCAGGCACTTACCTGCTCTGCACTTTGTAGCTCAGGCAGCAGAGCACGTGTCTTGCAGCAAATCAACAAGCACATTTAACTAGCAGACATGCGGAGTTGCAACAGTGCAAAGCAGGCACAAGACTAAAGAAACGGATAATTTTTTTTTTGAAAAGAGTATGATTAACTTTGAACTTTGAACTTTGGATTTAGTAGTTTAAGTTCATAACTTCATACACAACTTAAAAGTTCAAACTTTGCAGTTCAATTCAGAACGTCAGAGTCTTCAGACTGGCAGCACTGTCAGTGCT